TTAGCCTATGAGCTTCTCTTTCTCTCTCTCTCACAAAACACATGTTAGCACTAGCTTTGCCTATAGTTACATTTAGTCTACACTGTTGAAGTCATTTGGTCTATGTTTCTTGCTCAAACCACATGGATATTTGGATCCATGCATTCTTTGATATGTAGGCCAGCAATCATGTCCAAGGAAAATATAGGGTTGGTTTTCCTTTGGTTTGGTACAAGGCTTTAATTATTGAAGGGTATGGATTTCTCAGGTTGGCAACTCTTTTGTAGTCCCTATGGATTATGGTTTCTTACATTAGAAGGCTTATTATGTATGGAAACTCAAGGAATGAGGAAGATTAGCCTATGGTTTGCCCTTGATGCAAGAGGGCACAACCAACTTCAAGGATTACATGTAAATCTATTTATTAAGGAAAGCCTTCCTATCGTAAGGAGTATGGAGAAACCATATTCCACATAGTCCATAGACGCTCATGAAAAGTTGGTAGATCCTAGAATTATGTATTTTCCTGGAGGATCCCACTCTGTCTGTCGCCGGTCCACCATTCCTTGAAAGGTGATGACCCTAAGGATCATGTAGTCCTCACGATTACAATATTACTTCACTAATCATTGTCAAAGCCTGTCCATCATTCCTAGAAGGGTGATGACCCTAAGGATCATGTTGTCCTTACGATTACAAACATTACTTCACTCGTAGTCCTTATTACAACATTACTGCACTTGTTGTCCTTACGATTACAACATTACTTAGCTCATCATGGTCAAAGCCTTTTTCAAATTAATTCGGATCGTCTTACAATATTAATATTACTTCATCTAAGTATTACTTCATCTAAGCATGAGAGTTACATGTAGATTTCTATATCATCAATAGAGAAAGTCAGTCCATCTCCCTCACCCTTGCTTCTCAAATAATCCTCCAAGTAATCTTCCTCAACAGATAATGGTGCGTTAGATAGGGGCGTTCTCTCCCCATGTGTCCCACTATCTACGGCGCACCCGATGCCGGTTTCTCGCAATCTTCTCTCAAGCTCGGCGTCAGCAGCAGCTCCAGCATCCCTTGCAGCCGCTTTTATAGATGTTGGGGACCTGTTCATATAGGAACCCACCATGGAAAAATTTGAATTTCCCGCCAAAAAGTTCGAGCTTCCATTTGGTAAATTTGAATCCTCAATCGAGAAATTTGGGAAGTTCAAGTACTTGGGGGCCACTATTGGGCCTCGCAAACACAGCATTGCGGTGTCGTGAGCCGTGGCTGCAGCCTCTGCATTGTTATAAGTACCGAGCCATAGTCGCTCTCCTGTTTTGGGAATCCGAACCTCAGACACCCACTTCCCCCATTGTCGTTGCCTGATACCCTTGTACCGTGGTTTACATGGGTCCGATTTCGATCTATGCAGGCGAGTTTTCCGGCACGCATTGGGTTGCTCCATGCTCGCTGGATTCTGGTATGAAAAAGCTATACAGGTGATTTCCAGCCAAATTCCCAGCAGGGGAAGGCTATTTCAAGTCGCTTTCCTTGTCCAATTTCCAGCACCGGAAGGTTATATTGGTCGGTTGTCGGACCAAATTTCTAACAGGAGAAGGTCATGTGGGTCAGTTTTCAGCTCAAACTTCCTGCATGGAAACTTTGCGAGTCAGTTTTGGGAGAGGAAGGCAATGTAGGATACTTTGTGGCAGGGGAAGCTATGTTAGTAGTTATCCAGTCGCGAGGGGAGGTTATGTGGATCAGTCTCCAGGTACAAGAAGCTTTGTGGGTCAGTTTTCAGGTCGAATATTCAACAAGGGGCGGTTATGTGGGTAAGTTTTCCGGTACGTGCAGGCTTTGTGGGTCAGTTTTCCGGTGGCTGGCTTGAGTGAGGTTTGGCTGGAAGTGGGAGAGAAATGTGAAGGGTTTTGTAGGGTTTGAGAAAGGGAAAGTCAGCGTTGAAGGGGTGCATGTCGGTCAGTTGGAGTCCTTTGAAACCTATGCTTTACTTTGAATTGGAAAAGTACGCGGTCAAATTTTTTAAATCCAAAGCAAATTTCCTTTTTGTGTGTAGGGCTTGTTCCCCCGTGAGCATATTGTATACTTACTCCTAAAAGAAAATAGAGCTTTTTTTTTTTTGAGAAATAAATTTGTGATTAAATCACTAGATGGTTACTTTCAATAAAATAGTTGGATTTTGGGTTTTAAAACACGTCATTATGGTGGGATCTCTAGAAGTTTTTTTTTTTTTCAGGCACGTATACACCGCCTAGTATGGTTAGCACTGAACGGGTTCGGTCCGATTGGTATAATAAATAAATGTCGGTTTGTTTGATCCACACCAAAAACCAGGTTTGATTCCCCGGTTTTGGCAGTAGCTAAAAAAGTTGGACAAATTTTTAATGTATTTATTTTAATTTAATTATTTTTTTATTTTTTATTTTTTTTTTGAAACCTAATCCAACTAGTTGGATAATGTAGTCGGTTGTACCCAAAGTGAATGCACGTCGTGCTCCCGCTGGGCACACAGTTTAGCTTTTATCATTTTGAATTATGTGATTTTAAAAATTTGGGATTCCTTTTTTTTTCTTTGCGATATATTTTGTTTACAATTTTGGTATAGAAACACAAGAGTTTGAGCGTGTGAGGATTTGATGCCGGAAACCAAAGTCCATAACTTTTGGGTTTAGGTTTCGTTGAATGGATGTACGACCAACATGTGGCTCCAAGTATTACTCACGTGAGCGTTGAATTTAATGTGGAGATGTTAATTCGAGAGAGAATCTAATTGGATGTTAAGCACCGAATTCAACTTATATCTTAAAAGGGAGAGAGAGAGAGATTGACTAAATAAAGTCATCAAGAGAGAGAGGGGGATTGACTAAAGAAAGTCATCTCTTGATTCTCTTGGAGTAGAGAGAACGGGAGCAAGGGTGAGAATTGACCCGATTCGGATATGAAATCAAGATTTTAGACCCTATTCGGATCCTCGTATGGATCTAAAAATTGAATTAAAAATTCAGATCCGAATTAAAACTTAGATTGGATCCACGTGCAGTGGATCCGATATGGATCTAACCCACATTCAGATCCAAATCCAAATCCAAATCCATCCACCTTTTTTAATAGTAAATTATATATATATATAAATTTTTAAAGGGACAAATTTATATAGAGCTCAGGCTCTAAGCAATCAAGTTAGAGCCTACCTAAAATGTTTCATTATAAGAGGTTGTTTTGATGCCCAAATATCTTCGAATTGATCATCTCGACATCATGATACATGGACGTGAGAAAAAAATGGATTTCAGGTTTTGTAAATTGTGTATTTTATAATGTATTTTTGGACTCTCAATTTTCAAAATTTTCAAGTTTTCATAAATATGTTGATCTACATTTTTTTTTGAAGCGTTAAACTTTATAAATAAAAATAAAAATATATTTTAAGGCTATCACAAAGATTTCTAGTATTGAAACCGCATTTCTTGATACTATTTGAAGGTAGGGTCTAATTTGATTGTTTAGAGCCTTGGCTCTATACAAGCCGCACCGGTTTTTAGAATAGTATAATATATAATATGGATTTGGATCCAATGTAACTATTCAGATTCCGATCTGGATCTAGATCCGGATCCGATATATACTATTCAGATTAGGATCTAGTTCCAAACATCTAGGATCCGGTTTGCACCCAAATCTGACCTAGATCTCATGCTTACCATTTGGATTTAAATCCAGATCCAATAAGATCTGGCTTCGATCCGACCCGTTCTCACCCCTAAAGGGGACTGAGAGTAAAGAAAGGCTTTTTTATTCGCCTCAACCGGATACATGAATGACTTTGGTGTATCATTTTGAAATCCACACAGTGCAAGTTGAGAGAGAGGGAGAGAGTGAAGGCCCACTTGAAAAGGGGAAGTTTGTTTTTTAGTTAAGTCGGTGTGGTGTGGTGTGGTGTGGTGGGGTTGAGGGAGGGGGCAGGCAGGGGGGGTTTGCCCGTTACCGGTTTCATTAATAAGGCCCATACCCCTTTCATTAATAAAAATAGAAGGAATATAGATCATAACTTTATGAATAAGATAATTGTACCAAATCATGCAGTAAAGATAAATTTAGCAGTCTAAAGTGCCAAACTGTAGCATCAGATAAAGGTGTTGTCTTTTTGGCCAATGTAAATTTAGCAGTCTAAAGTGCCAAACTGTAGCATCAGATAAAGGTGTTGTCTTTTTGGCCAATGTATCTGCTACCATGTTGGCCTCTTGATAGATGTGAAAATGAACAATGATGATTCACTTTCAATTTGGATTGAAAAATAGTCAAGTTTAATAGCCAGATCAACGCCCACCTTCAAAGTTTAAAATTCCACGTAATTGTTTGATGCAACACCAAATGGAGTAGCAAAAGGCAACAATAAAGGCACCATTGTTATCCTTGATGACAACGCCACCACCTACCATACTCGGGTTTTGAAAAGAAGCCCAATCAACATTAAGTTTAAAATTTTGAGGGTGAGGGAAAGACCAAGCAACCAAGACAGAGGTTTTAGATTTTTGTTGGCACCATGGGATCTATAAGTTTTCAATTATTGTCTTTCCTAACATGTGAAAGTCCCCAAGATTTTGAATCAACCAATCACAAACATGATGGATGATCTTTCTCAGCAAATGTTCTCTCCTTAAGACTTTCATCTAAAAAATTCTATGGTTGTGCTCCTCCCATATATACCAAATTGTGGTGAAAAAAAAGATTGCCAGACATTAAGAAGCCCATTTGATTTGAATATGAAGGCAATCCAACTCCTCATTATTGTAATGGATACACCTGAAATGAAACGCTTACTGCACTTCCATACAATTGATTTCCCTAGAAACGGTTAGAAAGCACATTGGAACAATAGATGCCGAATATTGTCATCATTATTTCTGCATAAAGGGTATATACAGAGTCCTTGGTGTTGAAGAAGGAATGAAGTGGGCAATCGTTGATGAAGGGCCAACAAAGAAAGCCACTTGGCTCTGAGGTTGCATTTTGAAGCTCAGAAGTCCCTTTTTGCCAAATAAAATCCCACACTGCTTTAACCGAAAACAACCTATTGGAGGGGTAAATCCATAATAAAAGATCTCTTTGTGGTTATAGTGGGAAAGTGAAACCCTTCACATTAATCAAATGACCCGGTATTGGAGTGGGTCCGAGGGAAGCTTTCTAAATAATCTGATACCTTAGATTTAGCAAGTAATCCAAAGTCTTGATGAACATTTGCATCATAAAATTCCCAAATGGATTTTTTTGATAACCATGAGTTTCCCCAGAAATCCGTTAACCGTCAATTGCCAATTACTCATATGACATTGTTTCTGAAATGAATTAGTCCATGTAGAATCCCCTTCCAAGCATAAAAACAACCTCCTCTTCTTAGCCCTCCATATAGAACAATTTTTAAAATATCAGTGCTTGGAGAAGAGTGCTAATAAAGAAAATAGATTATATAAAATCCTCCATGCAAACTTCATCAATCCTACAGTGTTGAAATCAGGAGTATTTCCACAAACTTCATCAATCCTACAGTGTTGAAATCAGGGGTATTTCCAATGCCAAGAACCTCCTCTTTAAGATTAAGGCACACAATTTTCCACTTCATATAGATAGTTAGCTTGGTATTCTTTTTGTGTAGATATCTCTCCTATCAAGGTAAGGATCCTTAGAATTGGAACAGCCATTTGACAAGCTAATAACTCCTTTTTATGGATGTTGCCAAAAAAAAAACTTTCCTTTCTTTTTTTCATTTGATCATTTGAAGTGAAAGACTTCACCTTATTTGTTCTATTTACGACAACGATGAATGAAATTCTCACTGTACTTATTTTTCTTCCCACTTTTAAACATTGGGTTCATGTGAAGGAAAAAATGTATTAATAGATAAAAAAATATGTACCAGTTTTCCTGAACTGACGGTATTGTTACAAAAGTTATGTATTTTGAAGTGAACTGTACCAGTGAAAGAGCATATATATTATATAACTAATCCCTTGGGACTTGGGAGGATATTTTCAATTTAAAATTTTGGGAACCACCTAAGAATCCTATATGCTAATTTTTAAAAGAAAAATTGAATTGTAAGTTTTCTAGTACTTAGATATCATCTTTGAAAAAGGGTGCACTTTGCATATGGATGCATCCGTAGGTGTAGAGGTAAGGTGCACTTTCAAATTTTATCATGGTATATAATTTGGATGTAAAATGTTCTTAGGATTATCTCAAAATCTATTTTTATATCTAATTATAAAATTTTCAATTTTAAAAATAATTAAAATCAAGTAGATATATAAACATGAAAATCCTGAAAATGGACGGTGTAGATAATATGTTGTACAATGCACTATTTTTTAGAGTTAAATTCTTTTTATTTTTCATGGTCATACATCTCAATGTCAAGATGATCAATCAAAGAGTTTTTCAACATTAAAACTACCTTTTCCTTTGGATTTTTAAGGGGCATCCGTAGTTCTACATTATAAGGTAGCATCCTTATATAAGCTTTTTTGTTAGAAAAATAGGCGGTCGTTGGTCAATTTTGAGACATTTTTTTTTTTTTCAAAGTGCATAGAGAATGTGATTTGAATTCTTTTTATTGAAGTTAGTCTATGAGTTGAAAACATATTATCTCTAAAATTTAGAAGTACAATTACTCCTATATGGGGTTTCAACCAAGGGAATAAATAAACAGTATGTTCCGGTAGGATCCAGAAATCTTTGAAACTTGGAAATGAAAAAGCAAACAGAAAGTTCCAACTCCGGAAGGTCGTTTAGAAAGCACTCAATGATGCCGCCCTGTCAGTTTATCAAATAAAATAAACTAGCAAGCAATTATTGAGGGTGTGGTTTCCATAAGGGTGCAACCTTAAACAATCCAATTAGGGTGCATCTTCAAAATTTGTCCTGACCTATAATTTTCATGTAAAATATTTTTAGAATTATCTCAAAATCTATTTTCTTATTTAATGATAAAATTTTAAAATAATTAAAATCAAGTAGATCTATAAAAATATGAAAATCCTGAAAATGGATGGTCTTGATAATGTGTTATAAGATGTCCTATTTATGGGACTCAAAATCCTTTTTTTTTTTCATAGTCATACATCTCGATGTCAAGATGATCAATTAGAAAGTTTTTCAATATTAAGACAACCTTTTTCGATGGATTTTTGAGTTGCATCCGTAGTTCTACATTTTAAGGTTGCAACCTTATATAAACTTTTTCTTTACATATAAATAAATTTTTTTTTTTTGAAAAAAGTCCTTTAATTTTGAAGATTAAGGATAATGTTTTCAAGAAGGAAGAAGGTTATATAAGGCGTCAACCTTATACTATGAAAGTAGTGCATATGTAACATTATTATAATGTTTGGAAATCCTTTAATTGGTCCTTTCAACCTCGAGGTTTATGGATATGAAAAAAAAAATCAAGTCATGAAAATTATTATAACACATCCTTTGGATTGTCTATGTTCAAGATTTTCAAGTGTTTAAAGATACTCTCGATATACCCTACATTTAGAGTTTTAAATTTCATCGCAAGGGTGAAAACATATTTTTAAGCCTTCATACGAATTTCTAACACAAAAACTGATCCTTTTTTTGGTTGGGTCTAGAGGTGCACCATATCTTAATTGTGTATAGTTAACACTTTATGTAAACCACTCTGTTTCAAATAAAAATAAAAATAATAATCCACAAATAGGGAGAGAATTTCTCGCTATGTGTTTATAACATTAAAGCAACATGTTTCAAAGGATTTTTTAAGTGTATCTTTAGTTTTATATTTTAAAGTTGCAACCTTATATAAACTATTTTCATATAAATATCTAAAAATATTATTTATAATTTTGGATAAATATAAAACATTTATGGAAAAATATTCCCGTACACCCTATTTTTGGTTTTCATAGCTCAATAGACCCAATAATTTAAAATATATCTCCTAATCCCCTGACTAACTTTTCTCACTTTTAACTATTGTTTTGGCCCTAACAAATATAAAAAAAACATGCTCATTTTAAATCTCTTTATGTGATATATTCCCCTCAAATTTCTCTCTCTTCTATGAGATTTTCCCAAATCCCTTCTCTCTCTTCATTTTACCCGACTTTCTCTCTCTAGGTCTTTCGCTCTCTCTCTCTCTCTACACCATGTTTCTTGAAACCCTCTCTTTCATTTTGGATTCCAAAACAGGCACAATCTACATACAGTCAATCACCATGCAAAGAATATCCAACCAATCAATAGAAAAAATCTATAGAAATCAAGCAAATGTATAAAGAAAAATAAACCATGGAGAGAGAGTGGAAAAATAGGGAGAGAGAGAGAGAGAAAAAAAGTTTGGGAAAAGTTATGGAGAGAGATTTAAGAGAAAATTACGTGATTAGAGAAAAATGATGGTGTTTAGAAATGATGTCTTTATTATATTTGTTTGAGACAAAACAATAAGTTTAAAGGGGATAAAGTTAGCTTAAGGGGCTAAAAGATACAAGGCTTAGAATTTTTATGAATCAATATATGTTTTGAAACCTTGAGTTTATTGAGATATAAATCTTAAAAATGAGGGATATAAAGATATTTTCCCAACATTTATTAAACGAGTAGGGTCGGGAGGCATTTGAGTCTTAAGATTTGCGGCCTAAGGTTGAAGAGGTCAAATGCTCCTTTGGCCTTTTCAAAGTTGCAAAGGATGAACAATTACGGATATTTCAATAATTTAATCCCCAATAAGCCTCAACTGAATGACAAAAAAAATTCTACTTTTTTAAGGTTGCAAATAAGAAATGCACTTTTGAAGATTAATAGTGAAGAACAACTACGGCTTTTTTATCTTTTGGCGCCCAAATGCCTTAAAAAAATATTCCAACTTGTTCTTTATTACTGATCCTAAACATTGTGTTTCTTATTTCAACAAGCTAAGGCATTTTTTACATTCAGTTGGGACCTCCTGGAAGTCAAATTACTAAAATTCCCCTAATTGTTTCTCCTTCCGAATCTTGAATAAAGATAATTTTGAAATTTCAAGATTTTATTAGGAGAGGTATCTAAGAAGAATGAAAAAGAAAAAATAACCCTTCAAATATTTGATCCCTTTAAGAATTTTGTAAATGATATTTTCCTTTTATTTATGTTGAGAGAGAGAGATAGAGTGACTTCCATGACTCAAACATTGTAAAAAAAAGCATAGACAGCACGTATGTGTTTTGGGGGCCTCGCCGTCGACTGGGATGGATAGGGAGAATTCACATAGGAATTAAGATACAAGTTAGAATATAATTATTATTCATTAATTAATATCCATAATATTTAATTTTGGATATCATACATTCACAAAATGTCAATTTCATCTAAAGTTTAACTCTTCACAAAATATAAGTCCAAATTAGTAAATATTCCATCTACAAGTATGAAAAAATATCAAACAAGTAAAATAAAACTAATAGGATATCAAAACATCACTCATTGTACAACATAAGAACCAATTATTCATAAAAGAATTCGATATAAGACCAATTTTATCATCCAAACAAGTTAATAATCAATTAATCATAAAAAAAAAAATTCAAATTTTCAACTACAAACATACATACAAATATATCATATATGGAAAAAAGTTTAAAAAAATAGTCAAATAATTCAAAACATAATTTGCTGTAGCATAAGAAAAGTAAAACCCTTATTCAAGTATCATAATAGTATAATGCTCTAAAAATATCAAAATGAAAACGATATCGGCTCAAACCGCATCTATTCGATAGCCAAAAGTCCTTACTATTGACCACTAGAAGCTTCAAAACTGCCATGAAGCATTGCCTTTGATTTCGGAAAAAATCGAAAATTTATCGATCTTTCAATAAATCACAAAATAGAAGGTTTTGAGGAGTTTTTGTCTCTCTAGATAGCACGGATTTAGTTTTGGGGGTTTAGAATGTCCCCCAAAACCCTTTACCCTCCCCTTTTTTTTTTGGAGGGGGGAAGGGGGAGGGGATTACTATTTTAACTGTAGCAGAGGGCATTTTTCTGCTCTCAGCAACCTGCATCGAGGCGGCACCGTCGCTATAGCGCCTAGGTGGTGCCTTGCCCGCCTAGACGCAAGCCTCCTTGGTGCTTCACCTAGGCGTTTCAGGCGTTTGGCCACCTAAGCGGCTGGGTGGCCGAATTTTCGAACACAACTCAAATAATTACAAGCAATGAATGTACATCTTTACACTTGCTGAAATCTATATAGAGAAGAACCTTAAAATATATATAAAAAATAAAAAGTAAAACAGAAAAATTAAAAAGAAAATGGGTTATGAGGAGCTAAATGCCTTTGATGCAGCATAAAGAAAGTCCAAGAAGCCTGTGCCCCTGAGGAGTCCTTTCCCAGTCAACAACTCAAAATCAAGAAGCAAGAGAAACCCAATAACAGCAGCCTTTCCATTGATCAACTCATTCTTAGTTGTGAAACCAAACCCCTCCAACCCTTCATCAACCACCATTCTCACCTGCATATCCATCAATCTTTGTATTAACAGTCATGGAATTCTAGCTGGAGTCTCTCCCAGAGAGGCTGTCTATGTAGAGAGATTGGGAGAGGAGACAGAGGTCTTTTAAGTAGAAAGAACATAAAGTAGAGAGAAAGGGAGGGGGGGGGCTGCTGTATATGTAGAGAGAGCGAGGAGAGAAAGAGGTCTACTAAGTAGAGAGAACATAAAAGTACATAGAGAGAGGATGAAAGGTTTTCTATGATTTCCTATGTGAGAGAAGATCACTTTGGAAGAAAGTAAGTTCATGCCAAGTGCCATCCATGTTAGGATCGGATTCACCATGCGAAATCCTCATACTTTCAAACCCAAATACAAAAATCACTTAATCGCTATATAAAAAAAAAACAAAAAAGAACACAAAGTTCTGCTGCTGCAAGAAAAAAGTTATGCAGAGAGAGAGAGAGAGTGAGAGAGAGAGAACACAAGAAAAGAATACCTCATCCAGACACATATCTGATGCACTATGTATCCATAACAGTAAAGAGAGAAAAATTAAGCCGCACAAGTATTACCTCATCCACATTGACATCAGATGCAGTGACACCAGGTTGAGCTTTCCCACTGAAAACTATCTCTGCAGAGCCTCTTGATCTCACCCCTCCTTTCATGCTTATGTATATGTTCTCTGAGTCTGTTTTCACGGGATAAACAAGGAGTGTTCGAAGAGGTGGAGTGAGAACTCTGAGAACTGGGTTATTTGGGTACCATTCCTTAATTGTCCCAGTCCTTAAATCGAACGTGCTATCTGTTGAGGGGCAAACTATGCATCCATCCTACACAGAGTTCACCATATTTATAACTGAAATTGTGAACGACAAGTCAAAACTGCACACGAATTCACAATGTTCATGACCAACATATCAAGCAACATTAAATTTACTAAATCTATTATCGAAATTTCAAATAACAGGTAAACTTAAAAGATGAGTTCCATCTCTAATTAACCACTGTAATAACATAGGCATTAACAAGAGTTCTTACTACCAATATTCAGATTATGAAAACAACAAAAGAACTGTGGCACTACTCTTTATATTAATGTCCATATTACATATACAGACAGGCATTTCACAGTCAAGCAATTGGGTCTCAGGAGAGAAATTTCATCCATGCAAAGAACATCAAAAGTTTAAAAGCCTGCATTCACTAGTAGATCTTATTATGAATGAGGTTGAGAACTACACCAAAAAGCAATAGTTCAAAATTCACCCTACCAACTTAGAAGAAATTCAGTCCTATTTTATTAGTAAAATTGGAAATTCGATTCATCCCTACCAGGCTTTAGAAAGTTACAAAAGATCTTACCTAATTTAGTGTCGAGGAAATTCAGTAATGAAAATCTTGATATGTTTTCGTCCAACTATATTTGACACAACCCAGGCAATATTTGACACCACCCTCGTGCCTGGGTTAGAAACCACTAATATGGAGATTCGCCCAAACTATCCAGTTTTGACTAGTTTCAACAAAAATTGGTCTCTCATCCATCCAGTCCAGAACTCTCTACACACACTCGGGATCAAATTCAGCAATTTGTAAACCATGCTTTTCACCAATATGTTCAATATTGTATTAAAATCAAAGAAGGCCCAAATCTACCCAATCCCTCCAACATTTCACATTCCTATGCATTTTATTTTCCTAGGAGCCACCCTTTTCTCTTGTTCCTTGCATAGCTATCCTCATAACAAGGAATGGGATAAAAAAGAGTCAAAGATAGTTTCTTGGTTGGCAAGAAAATTTACTTCCCAAAGTAGCTAACGGAACAATCTTTCATCTTCTTTCCAATGAACTTGTGCACCTCAATAGGTAACTCCTACCATAAACTTCATCATCATCGTCAAAGCCTTTTCTCAACTAATTGGGGTCAGCTACACGAATTCCGGACTGCCATTCTACTCTATTAAGGACCATACCCTTAGTGAAGCCATAAGTCCCTATATCGTTTCTCACTACTTCCAACCTCGTTCTTTGGGCCTACTCCTTACGCTTTTTTAGCCTTCCACTTGAACTAATTCGCACCTCTTGAACTAATAATTGAAAATTTCTTGCTCCCTCTTTCCCTCCTTAAACAACCGAATATGTTTCATTCCATCATCAACCATCAACTTGGAAGATGAATGGCCCACGATCATAACAACATCAACAAACTTAACTTTTCACTTCCCAGAGTCTATAAAACCATTCTGATCAATGAGAGGGGATCTTTCATATTTTGAACATGGTGAAGCACAAAGCAAACCCCCAAGCAGCACAAATCATTGTTCTTAGAGTAACTACAATGAAAACTCATCCATCATATATCTCAAGGGTGAGGCACAACGGCTCAGCGGTATTATTCTGAGTACACTTCCTTTAACTTGGAATGACCGATCAAGGGGGTTCTTGCTTGCCTAAATGAGTTGGTGGATGTAAATGAAACAAATGTCTCTTCAGTAGCATTTAGAATTCTTCTCGAATAAAGAGATTTCGAATTTGTTTCGTCATTGTGTTGTCTTCTCTGGTTGTTTTGGGGTTTGTTTGTTTTCATATCCTACAAAGACACATTTGACCATATCACCCATAAAAATGTAAACATTTCTAAGAAGTGTTACCAAGACTGGTGCCTTGGCCAGTTTGGTCCAAGAAAAAGCTAGATTTGGTGAAAAATTGATCTAAACCAATGCTTGATCAGTTGGACCAACAAACAAGATTAGGTAGACTTTTGAATATATATATATATATATATATATATATATAGTAAAAACTAAAAACAAAGACTACTAATCGAAAGTCGCTCG